TGGAAAACTGTACCCAGGCTCCTCCGCAGACTGTAGAGCAGAATCACTTCCAGGATTTATTCAGATGAGCTGAAATCATGATCTCTAAGCCTATCTGCACCCACACCCATTTTCACGGCAGTCATGAGAACCACACTATGAAAAATAGCCGACATGGCTTTAGTGTGTGTGCGAAGGAGACATGATGTGCATGCAGAACAGATCATTTACCCAGTGTTGAACAGAAGCAAACCCCACCATATTAGCAATGTGGTGGAGCCTGAAGGACACCGTGCTAAGTGAAACAAGCCAGCCAAGGAGGATAATTTCTGCATGGGTCCACGTGTATTCGATTTGGAGGTGGTTTGCCCTCTAAGAGTTTGTGTGTTGGAAGGTTGGTCCCCAGTGTGCCAGTGTTGGGAGTTGGCACAGAACCTGTTAGAAGGGTAGGTATAATGAGAAGAAATCAGATCATTGGGTTGGGGGGGGCTATCACCCAAAGAGGGCGGATGCTGTGGAGTGAGCTCTCCAGTTGTTATAAAATAACAGGCCTGACCTCTGCATCTCTCTCTCTGGCTTCCTGTCTCATCTTGTGATCTTTTTGCCATGATGCCATCCACCATGATGTGACATAGTTGGCAGAGCTGGTGCCATGGTGTTTGGGCTTGTAGCCTTCAAAAACTGTAAGCTAAATAAATCTTCCTTTTTAAAAAATAAACCAGTCAGCATCTGGTATGATATCAACAGAAACCATGATAATTCCTCAGGTCTCTAAAATAGGCAAATTCATTGAGTCAGAGAACAAAGCAGCAGTTTCCAAAGGCTGGAAGTATGTGAAGTGGCCAGTTAGTTGCTTATCAGTGAGTGAAATCCAGCAGTTAAGTAGATAAATGAGTCTAGAGATCTGCTATACAGTGCTGTATATATATATAGATAACACCACGATACTTACAGTTAGGAATCTGTTAAGGGGGTAGATCTCCAGTTAAGCATTGGCACTACAACATTAATGATTTTTTCTTTGTGTATGTGTACATCTGTGTGTTGTGCATGCACGTATATGTGTGTGCTCACATACATGTGAGTATGGATTTAGAGTTCAGAGTCTTTCTTGATCACTTTATTAACTGTGGCAGCGTCTCTTGCTAACTCAGAACTTGCAGACTTGGTTAGTCTAGTTAACCAACCAGTTGGCCCCAGGGATCCCATCTCTGCTGCCCTAGCACTGGGATTACGGTTGTATCACATCTTCTTTTAAATAGGCTTGAGGAATCTGAATCTCAGCCTAGTCCTCACATTTGCAGACAAGTGCTTTACACAGAGCCATCTCCCCAGCCCAAGAAAAATAAGTCAAAAAGAGTATGGTAAGCAAATACATGGTGTGGACAGGAGGCAGGAAGACACGAATACACACACAAGAATCTCCCTGCTTCTTGACCCCTACCTATAATTTCCTCTCTCTGTTTCATGACTGCCACAAGGTGAGCAGCTTTCCTTGCCCATGGCCTTCCTCCATGATGTTTCTGGCTCACCATGGGTCTTAAACAATGCATCCGGATGACCCTGGTCTGAACCTTCTAAAACCATGGACCAAAATCAAATTTTCCTCCTTTTAGATGGTTTCTCTCAGATAGATATCTACCTCAGCAACTAAAAGTTAGACTTAAACATTTGGATAGGAAGGACAGGGGCTACAGTCACCTGCATGGCCCCAAGGGAAAGCCCATACCTTCCGAGCATGGGGTAGGTAGCAACAGCAGATTTGACTTTGGACAATTACTTGATCTGGCTCCACCTGCTCTAGGGCTGCTGCTCATGCTTGGGTATGTGAATGTGTGACAAAGCAGGGTAGGTGGCAGCTGACTCTTCAGAATTCACATCTTCAAGGCTTCATCTTTTCTTATGGCCGCACCCGAGGGTACTTTATGGGAAAGATCTTGGATGGAGAGTTCAGGATCTCCAGGCCAACCCTTGGCACAGACTGGTTGTGTCCTCTGAGCAGGGTCTCTGCTCATATTTCCTTTAAGATCTGGCATAGGCTTAGTTCCCAAGCCTGGCGGACACAACTCTCTTAGAGCCCCGGTGCCCAGGGGTCCTCTAGGCACATCTATGATCTGTCCTAGCTCCCCTCCGCACTCAGCTCCCTCTGCATGCGGTGCCTTTCTCTTTCACCCTCGTTAGAAAAGTAGGGCCTTCTGGTTTGAATTTGAACTGTTTCCCATAAGCTCCTGGTTTGAAAGCTTAGCCATGGACTGCTAGTTCTTTCTGGGGGAAGGCCTGGAAATCTGAGGGATAGGGAAGTATGTCTTTGGGTGGTGCAAATCTTCTGGTCTGTCTCACTGCTTCCTGTTCTCCACCACACGCTCCAGCCACCATCATAGTCTGCTCAGGTGTGTGAGCCTGCATCATCGCCGACAAGACCCTTGAACCCATGAGCAAAACCAAATCTTTCCTCCCTTAATTATTTTCTGTCAGGCATCCTGTTTATCACAGCCATGAAAGAGTAACTAATGGAAAGTGTGATGAAAGTCCTTTTACAGTTGAGGAATGCCCAGTGCAGGCTATCTCTCCCCCAGAAGGGCACACAGCTCAAAAACCAGGCGAATGTGAATGCAGGCCAGTCAGGCCAGCGGGTAGCCTGATCACTGGGGGAGGGGAGTGGGGAGCACGCAGGGGGAGGTTAACTTCTTCTTCTTTTTTTTTTTTTTTACAAAATGCTGATGGTTTTACCATTCAAGATTACCGTGAGCACAATGTGATTCTGTGTTTGTCAAAATGTCCCCCAAAGCTTGACTCATCAAACAAGTGTGCATTAGGAAGGCCTCCCTGCTCCTGGTCTGTGCAGACCTCCTGGCACCTTCCGGATCTCACACCACAAAGTTTGCACTACCTTAGGTGGTGTGAAAAATCTCCCAGCAGCCAGGGCCAGCACTCCCTACAGGCCCGCTTCCTGCTGGGGGAGCAGGTGACAACAGCCCCAGGGGGAGGGGCCCAGAGCATGCACAAAGAATCAGGCAATTCAGGTCACTGCCCTAGAACAGCACCACTCCTTATCTTGAGATGGTTCATAGGGGCTGGTGGACAGCATGGGCACGCCCAGCCCCCTTCCTCTGAGAAGGCTGCCTTGCACACACTCCAAAGGACACAAAAGGCCAGGCTGCTGGCCCTCTTGGCACCGCACATAGGACCGATGCCCTGAGGAGTAAAGTCAAGTCAGGAGAGCCCAGGAATCGAATGAGTGAGGAGTCTCTGAAGTACAGCATATTCCTAAAGAAACAGAGATGGCTAACATGCATGGGCTTTAAGGGTGACCCAAGGGCGATGTGTGCTCTGCTTGAGGCTGGAATGGGTACATCACCGTCCTATAAAGGAGTCTTCCCCGAACACAAGCACACCTTCCTTTTGCTCAATTTGCTTATTACAGTCAATTCAAAAAATGCAAGCATGCCTCTTGACTCTACCCCTTTCCTTTCTGTCCGTTTTCTCTGTAGCTTTTCCCAGGAGACTCTCTGAAGAACTTGTCCACACTGCCAGAGGCTCAGGGTTCCTCCTCCCCAGCCCCCTTCTTACCACTTCTCTGCCCAGGCCCTTCCCTGTGTCCTGATGGCAGCAAAGGGCTGCCAGGGCAGGAGGGGACAGGGAGGGGAGGGGACAGGGATGGTACTAGCTCCTGCTGAAGGATGCTGGTATGTTTTTCGTTTACTCTGCTGGAACTTTCTGGAAACATCACTTCCCAATTTGCTCCCACCCTCCCAGCCACTCTTTTTTTCTCCTCCTATGTGACCCCAACCCGTTGGCACCATCTTCCTGGGTGACAACACCCCTCTCCAGCCTCTAGCACCTCGTGCTCATCAGTGCCCGACAAATAGTTTTCCATGTGACCTCTTGTGGAGCTTTAGATCCTTACACCCACCGTCCTCAGCACAGCCTTTGAGGAGACTCAACAAGCGACCCAAATATATGTCCTCAGACCTACTTTCCTAGCTCTCTGCCTGAAACTCATACCCCAGTGAATGTGGCCATGGGGCTGGTAAATGGGAGTTCCAGCCCGCCCTCTTCCCTTCCAGCTTCTATCAGCCAGTCTGGATGGCTGCCACTCTTAAGGATGCCAGAGCCCCATCCTCGGCCTGCTCCCTCCTAGTGGGAGGTGGGTTGTTTCCATACCACCTAGCTTCCAGCTGGCCCCACACTGTCCGTTTCTGTCTTCTACTCCTATCCCCCCAAACAGCCACAGTTACCTGATAAAGTGAGGTCTTATATCCGGAAGAGCAAGCACCGCCCCAGACTTCCTTCTCCAAAGTCTCTTGGCTTCTCTTACTATTTTAAAAGTTTTATTTTTGTATGTATGCATGCATGCATGTATGTATGTATGAGTTTATGGGTACCTCATGTGGGCAATGGCCCACAGAGGCCAGAAGAGGGCACTGACTCCCTGGAATTAGAGTTACAAGTGGTGCTTGGAACTGAACCTGCATCTTCTAAACGAGCAGTAAGTGATTTTACCCTCTGATCCATTTCACTGTATACAGTGTTCTACCTGCATATACCCCTGCATGCCAGAAGAGGGCACCAGATCTCATTAGGGATAGTTGTGAGCCACCATGTGGTTGCTGTGAATTGAACTCAGCACCTCTGGAAGAGCAGCCAGTGCTCTTAACCTCTGAGCCATCTCTCCAGTCCTAAGACCAACTTTAGAAGCAAAAAATTAAACAACAACAACAACAAAACCCAAAAAGTTCTCAGTGGCAAACCAAATCAATCCAAAGATACATTGATCTGCCACCCTAAATACATGTGCTAAATTCTAGAATAGGAATTACCGGTCCCAGTTAAAATTTATTTCTTTACACATGAAGTAGAAGCAGGGGGAATTATCTCTCTCCTTCTCAAAGGATCTGTTCTTTTACATGTAATTCCATTTCATTGCTTTCTTGGGTTTTTCTCAATTATAACTGGGCAGAGATTCCAGGAGCAGCTGCAGGTGGGCGGGGCCGTCAGGAGGCCAAGGCCTCTGCTCTTACCTCTCTGAGGCACGTGTAGATGGGGCACACCAGCACTCGGAAGGGCTCTCCAGTGCTGCTCCGCATGGTGCCGAACACCTCGCACAGGAAGGTGATGAAGCCCAGCCAGCGCTCCACATCCTGTTGCTGCAGCTCCTCACGCACAGTGAAGTCCTTCTGCAGAGGCACAAGAGACCATGTCAGCCTCCCTGGGGCTGGGAGGGGCCCAGGCAGCTCAGCTGCACCACAGCACCCACAGTCCAAGAGCTGATCCGGTGTTTAAATGAGGATGGAAACTACCCGGCCTTGTATCCAAGACACCACTTCCGCTAACCCTGGGGCACAGCTTTTCTTCCTCTGAGAGTCGCTCCGTCTTGGTTACTTTCCTCTTCACAGATGTCCCTAATCTTGCCTGGAAGATCCCAAGACTATGGACTGGGAATGTACATGGTGGGTGGTTGAAGTGTGTGTATGGTGGGAGGGGGTAGGGAATCACACCTTTCTCAGATTCATTATCTCAATCTGTTTAGATGGCTTCCTTTGACTCTTAAATCATGCTCCTATCAGGGAGTTAGGAGAACACTGCTTGACCTCACAGATCAGCAGTGCACTACTGAGGCCCATTTTAGCCCCTGTGATAGGCTCAAGGCAGAAAAATGATTCCTGCCCATTATTGGCCTGGCAGATAATAGGAAAATGTTACATTATTATTATTATTATTTTGTGTGTGTGTGCGTACATGATATATGTGTGGGTGTATGTGCCGCAGTGTGGAAGTCAGAGGACAACTCTGGAGTCAGTTCTCTTTTACCTGTATGTGGTTTTGGGGGATCAAACTAAGGTCACCAGGTTTTCATGGCAAGTGTTGAGCCATCTTGCCCACCCAGTAGGAGAATCTAAAGTCTCCATCCATCCATCCATCCATCCATCCATCCATCCATCCATCCATCCATCTATCCATCCATCCATCCACCCATCCATCCTTCTCTTAGAAATATTATTGTGCAATGTTCCAGGCAGTACACAAAGGGTTAGGGCAAAGCACATTCACCCTTAGCTACTGACACACGACAGACAGGTTAATTGCCATCAGAAGATCCTGGAAAAGTGATTTTTGGGAGTTCAGAAATAGGAGTATTCGAAACTGGAAATCAGAGCCTTGATGAAGGCTAGGGTTCTGAGAAGCGTACAAGTCAGATGATGGGATGGAATGGGAAGGAGATGAAATTGCCAGGTTCTGGGGAGGGAGACACAGGAAGTCAATGGGGAGTTTCAGCTTTATAAGATGAAAAAGTTTTAGAGATTTCTTGTACAACAATGTGTACTTAACATTTTACAATGGCAAGTGGCACACTTAGGATGGTGAAAATGGTAAAATTTACATAATTTTATAAAGGTAAGACATTAAAACTTTCTTGAGTGGATGTTTTGGCCAATAAAATATATGCCTCAGTTCTGAGGGAATCAGGGTATAGAAGAATAGGAAGGGGAGACTGAAATTGAAACCAGGAAGACTTAACAAAGTTAAGTCAAAATAAGTCAGTATAAGGTTATTTTTAAAGAATGAATCAAAAGCCAGAAATAATTTTTGGAAGAGAAGATATTTAATTTTTATTTTTAAAATTCATTTCAGCGGAATTCTAATTTTTAAATGCAACCTAAATGATAATTTTATAGTAGTAGTTAGCTAATAATGCAAAATTAAATTACCAAAGACTGGTTGCAACTATGAGAAGGGGAAAGAAGACTGGAAAGCGAACAATACTTCCTAATTTATATCATAAGGATTTAATATATAATAATATATCCTCAGCTTGATTATGAGAGACATACAGGTAAAAGCACGCCTTGAAGGATAGTTAAATGGAGTCCTCAGCTGAGGCTCCTTCCTCTCAGAAGACTGCAGCTTGCATCAAGTTGACACCCAACCCAGCCAATACAACACTCACCTTCACGGGCACCTTCACCCACAAGTACACACCTACACTTATACACATGCACATGAAGTTTAAAAATAGGTTGAGTATATGCTGAAAATTTAAATATACTAGGTTAAGTAGAACATATAATTACATTCAAAATTATGTGAGTGGGTTGCATTGTATTTCTAGCAGAAAGTGTTATACAAAATCTCAACTCAAAAAAAAATCAGAAAACCATCATCAGCTAAAAAATATAGGAAAGAACACAATATAGATAAAACTGGAAATTAACCAGAAAATAAGAAATACAAAAGCAAGACGAATTAGAAAAAGTTCAGTATGAAAAGAAATATGGAAGAGGTAAGGCATAACAAAAATTACGACTATGTTAAGTTGAAAAACACAAAGAAGTGAATAACGTTTCAGAAACATAAATATCATTAAGCCTTACTAAAAAAGAAAGATCAAAGCCAGAAATGATGAAAGACACGAACAAAAATGAAGTTACGAAAGAATTACCTTTAAAGGGAGGTCTCTAAAGTCACGACTCTTTAATAGGTAAATCCATCAAACTTATTAAAAATTTGAGATAACTGTTGTCATTTGGAAACAGACCCAATACACAGCGAAAAAAACCAAACCAAAACAAAAACCAAGCTGACCAGCCAATCATCTCAACTGAAATCTCCCAATAAGTTAAAAAGAAAGAAGCACATTGGCCGACCTTTCTAATGTAAATGAGTGGGGAAGCCCTAAATGAAATGCCAACAAATAGATCCATTATAGCCAAGTAGACTTTCATCCCAGGAAGGCTGTAGTGATTCGGCATCAAGAAATCTATAAATGCAATCTATTACACCAAGGGGTCTGATTGAAAAACAGCAGCAATGCCCATGGGTGGAAGGGAGAGAAAAAATTATTAGATTATATGTATGAAAAGCCCAAGAGGACCCTCTAATAAAGATTAATCAGAGTTTAGTAACTAATTAATGAGTATTTAGATATTAATTTAATATATAAAAGTCAAAAGCTTGCTTCCATGACACAATTTACCAGTGAGATTGTTTTAATGGTCAGAAGCTAATTTATTATATCCTAACATGAACTTTTGTGTGTGTGGCAAGGGCACTGGATGTAGAGACTTGAAAAAAAAATGACCCTAAAAGTAATTTGAAAGAGTATCAGGAAAATCACTAGTCAAGACACAATAAAATTGGAAAGGGTTGTATTACTTTTAATTTATTCCAAAGCTTTAATAATTAAAAGGCCATGGGATTGATGGAGCATGGACAGCTAGATCAGATAGCCCAGAAACAAATTTGGCATCCACAAGGGTTTATCATATGATCCCCCGAGAGCCACAAATCAGAGGCGGACGATGCAGCATTCACTGGAGCAACGCTGCAGACACAGCCGTCTAAAAACAGTCTGCACTCTCAAGTCATCCTGACCCTAAGATGAACTACAGGTGCAATAAAGAGGCAATTAAGAGAAATAAAAACTTGAAGAAGGAGAAATGGAGTGAAATCACACTTTTGGGTGGAGAAAGGTGGGCTTTAGGATGAAGCAACAGAGTTTGGATCAAAACATGTAAGAGGTTGCAACAGGCCTTCAGGAAATAGGACAGAGGGTAACTGCTTTAAAAGATAGCAGCGGTTACGTATGTCAGATATCCTACACATCAGATACTTACATTACAATTCACCACAGGAGCAAAATTACAGTTTGGAAGTAGCAACAAAAAATAATCTCATGGTTGGGGGGTCACCACAACATGAGGAGATATATTTGTTTTTTCGAGACAGAGTTTCTCTGTGTAGCCTTGGCTGTCCTGGAACTCACTCTGTAGGTCAGGCTGGCAGGTAGATCTATCTGCCTCTGCCTCCTGAGTGCTGGGATTATAGGCATGCGCCATCACCACCTGGTGGTATGAAAAACTGTATTAAAGGGTCACAGCATTAGGAAGGTTGAGAATCACTTTATATATATACATATATGTATGTATGTATGTATGTATGTATGTATGTATATGTATATGTATGTAGGTGATCTTCAAATTTGTAATAGCAGCACCAAGCCTACCATAGACAAATACAGAGGACATTAAGGGGTGAGTTACTGGTCAAAACAAAAATTGCCAGTAGATATGTGGAAATGGCTGTGCATGGCTGTGTAATTCTGAGGCAGAGGCAAAGAGGATTCACTGCAGGTTTTAGATCAGACTGGGGTACACAGTGAAACCTGCCTCAAGAAAACTCCAAAGTGCATAAAATTAATTATCAGTTACAGTTAAATGAGTGAAAATTCATGTTCACCCATCTGCTATAATAACAAAAATTTTAAAATAGCAGTCATCAATGTTGGTGAGGATTTGAAAGACAGGCATCTTTTTTATTTGTTTGTTTTTTGGTTTCTGTGTAACCCTGGCTGTCCTGGAACTTGCTCTATAGACCAGGCCTCAAACTCAGACATTTGCCTGCCTCTGCTTCCCGAGAACTGGAATTAAAGGCGTGTGCGCACCACCACCACATTCTTTTTTTTTTTTTTTTTTTTTTTTTTTTTTTTTCCGAGACAGGGTTTCTCTGTGGCTTTGGAGGCTGTCCTGGAACTAGCTCTTGTAGACCAGGCTGACCTCGAACTCACAGAGATCCGCCTGCCTCTGCCTCCCAAGTGCTGGGATTAAAGGCGTGCGCCACCAACGCCCGGCCTTTTTTTTTTTTTTTTTTTTGGCCACCACCACATTCTTATACATGGGCTGTATACATTTTTCCTGAGAAACCTTAATTAAATCTTAAGAGTCATCAGGCAATTGCACCTCTGGGTTACTAACATACAGAAATAATGAGAACAGGAAAAACACTCTTAATGGGCCAGCGACAAGTCTGTCTGCATTTCATCCCTGGGGAGATCACTGTCTCCTACAGGCTGACCTCTGGCCTTCGCATACAAGCTAGAACATGCACACACACACACACACAAAATAATAGAGTAAGTGTAAATGATCTCTTGAAGCAAGCTTAATATACATAAAAATTCAAGAGTTTAATCATCCAACAAAGCAATGGTTAAGTCAGAGGGGACCCATTTATTCACTGAGACTTGGTGACCCGATTTGGAGATGCACCCCTTTGATCCTAGCACTTAGAATCAGAGGCAGGCTGATATCTGTGAATTTGAGGTCAAACTAGTCTGCATAGCAAGTTCCAGGATGGCCGTGGTTAGATACCTGTCTCAAAAAGGGAAAAGACAAGCAAG